GTAGGGAGTCCAGCCACCTTAACCACCATGCCACATGCTGGCCCTCCTAAGTTTAGTAATTTTAGTCATGATAGAACCTTGTCACGCCACTATCCCCTTCCCCCTGCTATCCTGCTGATCAGACTCTTTAGCACATGTCCACGCCATTGGCATGTTTTTAAGCCAGCCTGAAGATCCAAACCTGCTGTCAACCATATGGCTTCCAGCACTGCAGTTTGGTTTGCTACTGAACGCACCACCAGGCTGGGCTAAGATTTTAAAACTTTCAAAGCAATTCCTCAGTCACATGAGCCACATTTGCAGGGCTGAATAGCCACACATGGCTAGTGGTTCTGCAGCCGACAGGGCAGAAGTGGCCCATTTCCATCACTGGAGCTCTATTGAACTGTATTTCTTGAGGCCCTTTTAGAAAGGCCAATAAAAAAGCCTTGCCCCCCAGGACAGGAGGACAAATGCATGAAACAAGGAAAGTCAAAACAAGGACTGCCGGGACCAGCAGGTGGTGTGGTGGTTAAGGCACTGGACACTCCCACATGGTCGACCAGGGTTCGAGTCCTGAATCTGGCGGCTTGCTTTCTCACTTCCTCTCTCTTTCACTCTCACTCTCTGTGTCTCTCTGGTCAAATTAAAAAATAAATGAATGAATAAATGAAAATAAAATAAATAATTATTAAAAAAAAAAAAAAGGACTACCACCATGAGACCTACCGGAATGGCCAAGTTTGTCAAGCCGCAATATCTAGCCCAAAGAGAGGGCCCTAGGGAGCTTTGAAGAACAGCCCAGGCAGTTTATCTGTGTTCAGCTTCTTTTCCTGGCAACTGATGACTTTTTTTTCTTTTCTTTTTTTTTTTTTTAATTTTTGCTATAGGGCATATACTCTCACTAGACTGAAAGAAAGAGAAAATGAGAAAGAGTCCCCACACGGGATAACCACATCACAGTCCCTTCTCCACTCTCCTCTCAAGATTTTCTGCATGCAAGCACAAGCACCTAGCATGTTTCTCAAGCCTCCAGCTCTGGGACGCAAATAGTGCCGTCGGCTATGTGGGAACTGGTCGCCTTAACCACTACACCACTGGCTGGCCCCATTTCCTTCTTACAGTAATGATTTCCTGCTTGGGGGGGTATCGAATTCCGTAACTTTATTATCCATATGTCCAACAAAAATGCAGCATAGAATTATAGTTAAGGACCTGGGAGCCAGGACTAGCAGTTCGTGTAATGGCTATGTTGCTGGACTACCACGTAGTTGACCACGGTTCAAGTCCCAGACCTGGTGGCTTAAAACTCATGCCGGGCACTTGTGCGTGCGTGCCCAAGATCCCGAGAGGAGAACGGAGGAGAAGGGATTGCGGCGTGGCCATCCCCCCTGGGGGGTGATTTCTCGCTTTCTATCTCTCTGTCTCTGTCTGTCCAGCAAGCGCATGCGCCCTATAGCAAAAACCTCTCAAAAAAAAAAAAAAATCACATCAGGTATGTGTGCCTGTATGCCCAAGATCACAGGAGGAGAATGGGAGAAGGGATTACGGTTTGGTCATTCCCCCTGAGGGGGGGTGATTTCTCACTTTCCCTCTCACTTTCTCTGTATCTGTCTCTTTCTCTCTCTGTGGCAAGTGCACATGCTCTAAGGCAAAAACCTCTTTTTAAAAAATAAAGAACTCAGACTCTGGGGACAGCAGGTCGTATGGTGGTTAAGACACTGGACTCCCACATGGCCAACTGTGGTCCAGGTTCCAAACCTAGAGGTTTGCTTTCTCACTTTCTCTCTCTCCCTCTCTCTGTCTCTCTGGTAGGCACAGATGCCCTATAGCAAATCTGAAAAATAAAATTAATGATAAATTAAAAAGAAACGTTTAAGAATAAAATAATAATGAATTAAATTTTTTTCTTTCTTTTTTTTGGAGAGGTTTTTGTTTTTTTTTTTTTTTTTTGAGAGATTTTCACTGTAGGGCGCGTGCGGTCGCCAGACAAACAGAGAGAGACATTAGAGACAGAAAGCGAGAAATCACCCCCCAGGGGGGATGGTCACGCCGCAATCCCTTCTCCTCCATTCTCCTCTCGGGATCCTGGGCACGCACGCACACGTGCCCGGCATGAGTTTTAAGCCACCGGGTCCGGGACACGAACCGCAGTTGACTACGTGGGAGTCCAGCGACATAGCCATTACGCTAACTGCTGGTTCCCAAGAGAGAGGTTTTTGCTATAGGGCACGTGCGCTCACCAGAAAAACAGAGACAGAGAGACAGAAAGCAAGAAATCACCCCCCAGGGGGATGGCCACACTGCAATCCTTTCTCCTCCATTCTCCTCTGGGGATCCTGGGCACGCATGCACACACACCTGGTGTGAGTTTAAGCCACCGGGTCTGGGATTTGAACCGCAGTTGACTACATGGGAGTCCAGCAACATAGTCATTATGCTAAGTGCTGGTCCATTATTTTATTTTAATTTTATTTATTATTATTATTTTTTAATCTGACCAGAGATGTATACAGAGAGAGGGAGAGAAGGAAAGCGAGAAAGCAAGCTTCCAGGTCTGGGACTCGAACCATGTTTGGCCATGTGGGAATCCAGCGTCTCAACTACCACACTACCTGCTGGCCCCATTATTATTTTTTAAATTTAACCAGAGAGACAAAGAATGAGAGAAAGGGAGAATGAGAAAGCATGCCGCCAAGTCCAGGACTCGAACTGCAGTCAACCCTGTGGGAGTCCAGTGCTTTAACTGACATGCCACCTGCCGACCTCATGATAAATAAAATTTAATTACTTGAACATTTAAAAACATATAAAAATTTAAAAACACAGACTCTGGGATCAAATTGACCATGTCAGAACCCTGTTTCACATTTTACTAGCTTGAGTGACCTTGGACAAGTTATTCATTCTCTTTTTCTTTCTGTTTTGTTTTTTGGGGAGAGGTTTTTGCTATAGGGAGCGTGCATTCACCAGAAATACAAAGAGAGACAGACAGAAAGGGAGAAATCACCCTCCAGGGGAGATGGCCATTCTACAATCCCTTCTCCTCCATTCTCCTCTAGGGATCTTGGGTACACACGTACACGCACCTGGCGTGGTTATTAATTCTCATAGAGTCTGTGTTTCCTCATCTGTAAGACAGGGATAATAGAAGCTATTTCACCGAGTTTTTAAGAACATTATGTTAAATAATATATAGTATATACCACAAAATAATGAACAATTAATATATACTGACTCAGGGACCAGCAGGTGGTGTGGTGGTTAAGTTGTTGGACACTCCCAACCATGGTTTGCAACCTGGACCTAGTGGCTTGCTTTCTCATTGAGTTTCTGTTCAAATTAAAACAAATGAATGAATAAATAAAAATTATTTTAAAATTACATATACATTCTATATACATATATATGCTGACTTTTTCTCCTCCAACTCTAATCTTTTTAGGGTTTCACCGAAAAAAAAAAGCCTTTGATGGGGATTTGGTGAATGTGTGTGAGCTCCTTATTCTTCCCTGCCTCCATCTTAGAGCTCTCTTCCTCAAACCCCACTTCTGTTCACCCACTGGCTTGAGGTTCTTCAGGAACCTCCTTGACATGGCTCCAGAATAGCTGCTCAGAGTTTGTTTTCTAGCATGAAGACCCGGATCTCTGGGGAAGTCATTCTTATTCTCTAGCTTTTTTTGGTTTATTTTTGAGGGAGAGAAAGAAGGAAAGTGAGAAATCATCCCTCAAGGAAAATGGCCACCACAATCCCCTCTCCTTTCTCCTTTGCAATTTTTTAAATAGAGTTGTTTTATTTAACTGTATTTATTTACTTACTTTTTTTTAATTTGACCAGATAGGGACAGAAAGAGGGGGAGGGGGAGTGAGAAAGCAAGCCACCAGGTCCAGGACTTGAACTGGAGTTGACCATGTGGGAGTCCAGTGCCCTTAACTACCACACCACCTGCCAGCCCTGTAATTTTTTTTTCTTTTCTTCTTCTTTTTTTTTATTCTTACTGTGATTTGTTTAAAATAATTATTTTATTTAACTTTCATTTACTTATTTTTTAATTTGACCAGAGAGGGACAGAGTGAGAGGGAGAGGAATAGACAAAGTGAGAGCGAGAGAGAGAGAGACGGAAAGTGAGAAAGCAAGCTGCCAGGTCCAGGACTGGAACCGTGGTTCACCATGTGGGAGTCCAGCACCCTTAGCCACCAGGCCACCTGCCAGCCCCTCCTTTGCGATTGAGTACTCATGCACAAGGGCGGTTGTGCCTTTTTTTTTCTCTTCTCTTCTCTTTTTATTTTCTTGTTTTTGTCATAGGCATCTGTGCTTGCCAGAGAGAAAGAGAGACAATAAGAGGGATAGTGAGAAATCACCCTCTAGGGGGAATGGCTACGCTGCAATCCCCTCCACTGTACTCTCCTCCTGGGGCTTTGGGCACAACATGCACACACACCCAGCGTGATTTTCAAGTTGCCAGGTCTAGGACTCAAGGCCATGTGGGAGTCCAGCACCTCAACCACTGCCCACCTGCTGTCTCTGCCCCTTGGAGTGATTGTCAAGCCGCCAGGTCCAGGACTCCCGCCATCGACTTCCAGGTATAGAATCCAGCGGCCTTAAGTGCCAAACCACCCGCTGGCCCTGCCTGATATTTTATACTCCCTTCATTTCTTAGGCCTAATTCCCCTAAGTACTAACGGTGTTCAGGAGGTTGGAGTCTCATATCCTGGGGGAAATTTGGAGATTAGGGAAGGAAAAAGAGCATGAGAAGCTAAAGGTACAGAGATTGCCTAAACTGCTTCTTGCTTTATGTTCTTGCAACTTAACAGTCCCTAGGAAAAGGCTAAGGGTCGCTACCTGCTCACAGGGCTCCTTGAGAAACAAATGTAATAATGTCCGAATTCCCTGTAAATTTAAATTCCTAATTATTAGAAGTTCCCAGGCCCAGGCGGCTCCTTTAAGGGGCGTGCCTCAATCCCAGCTACAGTGGGAGTCCCCGCCCCCGGTTGCCAGGGTGCTCTGTGGCGTCCCATTCTCATTGGTGAGGGACGGTGGCGAGGCCCTCAGCGGCGGCCATTTCCAACGAGCCGGCGGGGCGAAGATGGCGACGCCCCTTGGGTGGTCGCAAGGGGGATCGGGATCTGTATGTCTCGCCTTCGATCAACTGCGGGATGTGATTGAATCTCAGGAGGAACTGATCCACCAGCTGAGGAACGTGGTACGCAGCCAGAAGAAATCAGGGAGAGTCCGGACTGGAGGCCTCGATGGCGGAGGCAGTGCCAGGCCTTTCGATGCAAGGGGCGTGGCTAGAACACATTGCCAAAGGCGTCATCGGGAGGAGGCGGGGCTCAGATGGTTGGTAGGATCTGGCCAAAAAGGGGCGGGGTCTTCCTGACTATTTGCCAGGAAATTTGTGTTTTTTTGGAGAGGTTTTCACTATAGGGCGCGTGTGCTGGCCAGACAGACAGAGAGACAGAAAGCGAGAAATCACCCCCCAGGGGGGATGGCCACTCCGCAATCCCTTCTCCAGTCTCTTCTCGGGATCTTGGGCAGGTGCAGGCACGCACACGCACCCGGCGTGAGTTTTAAGTCACTGGGTCGGGGATGCGGACCGCAGTCGACTATGTGGCAGTCCAGCGACATAGCCATCACGCTTACTGCTGGTCCCCAGGAAATTTGTTTTTAAAAGAATTATTTTATTTAAGTTTATTTATCCTAATTTGACCAGAGAGGGACAGAGAGAGAGAGAGAAAGTGAGAAAGTAAGCTGCCAGGTCCAGGACGCGAACCATGGTCAGCCTTGTGGGAGTTCAGTGCCCTTCACCACCATGCCACCTGCTGGCCCCTTGCTAAGAACTGTTAACCAAAATCAAACAGCAGTTCTGCATTCTTTTTCCCTGGTTGCTGCTGAGCCTCAATTTCCCCATTTTTAGGTGAAATGACTTAACTGACTTCAGTCTCATTCTAAATGCATCATCCCATCATCCTTGGTCCTGGTCCCTACAGGGCACCTCTCCCACCCATCCCAGACCCTCCCTGAGCCAGGCTCTGTTGCAGATGGTTCTCCAGGATGAAAATTTTGTCAGTAAAGAAGAGTTCCAGGCAGTGGAGAAGAAGCTGGTGGTAAGTAAAGGCCTCTGTAGGCTCCTAATTCCTCCCTCCCTCATTACCCAGGATCCCTGTGGTTAGATTATCTTTGAGTATTGACCTCTTGAGAGCCTCCGGGCCCAGAAGAGTGACTAGAATCTTCCTGTACCTCTCAGAGAAAGGGGGATAGAGACTCCAGGTGGCTTGGAGTCATATGCCTCTTGCCGTTCCTGCAGGAAGAGAAAGCTGCCCACGCCAAGACCAAGGTCCTCCTGGCCAAGGAAGAGGAGAAGTTGCAGTTTGCTCTTGGAGAGGTTGAAGTGCTGTCTAAGCAGCTGGAGAAAGAGAAGCTGGCCTTCGAGAAAGCGTGAGTGGGCCCCAGTGGGGCTGTGGGGGTCGGGGTTCCTATCTGCCTGCTGCCTGCCCACCCTCTCATCTTACCCCCAACCCAGGCTCTCCAGTGTCAAGAGCAAAGCCCTGCAGGAATCTAGCAAGAAGGACCAGCTCATCACCAAATGCAATGGTAGGCGGGAGGCCCGTGCCCCCCCCAACCCTTACGTTCATGGGCTCTTTCCTAGTAGCCCAGTGCCTGTGTCAAGGGCAGGGTTTCACCCCAACTTCTGTCCCCGGCTGAGGACACAGGCAAGCCCAGGTGGGCCACACCTTCGAAAAGGTCTTCAGGGACAAGGCAGGTCACGGAAATGAGGGAAGCAGTCGGCTTACAATATTCTTCACAGCCATAAAGGAACGGGCTTGCTCCCATTTTTCTTGAAACATACAACCTTCTTAGTCCACCTTTTATTTTCCCACTTCTGATGGGTAGTAGAAATAGTGTACTTTACTCATAACTGTTACAGGAGGAAAAACAACACGGCAACATGGCCCTACTTGAAGCTGACCCCTAGTCTCAGGGTTGGGAACTCAATAGGGAGGCATGGGAACTGTGGTAACACAGAGAGCCATGCTCCAGTCTCAAGGGTGTAGCCCCTCCCTTTGGGGGGTGGGGCCCAAGAGTGCCAGATCTTTAAAAAAGAAACCAGAAACCATGTCTTTAAAATTTATTATTTATTTATTTATGTATTTATTTTGGCTATAAGATGCATGCGCTCATTAGAGTGAGACAGGGACAGAGAGGGGAAGTGAGAAATCACCCCTCACCCCGGGGGAGATAGCTACACACAATCCTTTCTCCTCCATTCTCCTTTCAGGATTTTGGACATGCACGCACATGTGTCCTGCATGATTTTCAAGGCACTTGGTCTGGGACTCAAACTATGGTTAGCCAGAGTCCAGCACCTTAACCACCATGCCACCTGCTGGCCCTAAAACCAGGTTGTAATGGAATTAACTGGAAAAAAAAAGCTTTTTACTTTTTTTTTTTTTTTTTTAAGTTTTTGCTATAAAGTGTGCATGCTCAGCAGAGAGAAATCGTCCCCCAGGGGGATGGCTACACTGCATTCTCTTCCCTTCCATTCAGCTCTCAGGACTTTGGGTACACATGCACATGCACCAGGCATGATTTTCAGCCACCTTAACCACCATGCCACTTGCTAACCAGAAGGTTTAGATTTTAATGTTGGCAACTGACTTCAAAAAAAAAAATTTCTTTTTTTAGGGTTTTACCATAGGGTGCACGCAGTCACTGGAGAGAGTTAGAGAAAGTGAGAAATCGACCCCTGGGGAAATGGCCATGCCACAGTCCCTTCTCCTCCCTTCCCCTCTTGGGATTTTGAGCACATGTGCACACACACACAGCATGATTTTCAAGCCATTAGATCCAGGAACTCAAACCACAGTTGGCCATGTAGGAGTCCAGCACCTTAACCACCATGCCACCTGCTAGCCCCTCAATATTTTTCTAAGTTTTTTATTTTTCTTCTTTGAGACACAGAGATAGGCACCCCTCAACATGGAGGCTCTCACACTCTGCTCCACTCTGTCCCAGCCAGCCCAAGTCATGGATATACACACATGACCTTAATGTTCTAGTAGATCCTGTGTCACCAACCCAGGACCTTTCCCATGTGGATCCAGTTGAGTTGCTCCTGTGCCACTGCGTGGTTCTAATATCAAAATTTTAGAAGTATTGTGTGGGTGAAATGAAATATGTCTATGGCCATAAGTTGTCAGCTCTGTTTCTTACAGTTGCTTCTGGCCAGCTTATTGGCTCTTGTTGCTGTGGGCTGTAGGGCACTTTCAGAGTCAGCTATCCAGAGGTCCTAGACTCTAGAACCCCTTTTATTTTCCTGGAATGCTAAATTCTCCTTATCTAGTTTAAGAAGTAGATGTGGGGGTGACCAGCAGTTAGCGTAATGGCTATGTCGCTGGACTCCCACGTAGTCGACCGCAGTTCATGTCCCAGACCCGGTGGCTTAAGACTCACGCCGGGCACATGTGCGTGCGTGCCCAAGATCCCGAGAGGAAAATGGAGGAGACGGGATTGCGGCGGGGCCATCCCCCCAGGGGGGTGATTTCTCGCTTTCTGTCTCTCTGTCTGTCTGGCGAGCACACATGCCCTATGGCAAAACAAAACAAAACAAAAAAACTCTCCAGAAGTAGATGTGGGGGATGAACAGGTGGTGTTGTGGTTAAGGTGCTGGACACTCCCACATGGCTGACCACAGTTTGAGTCCCAGACTGGTGGCTTGCTTTCTCACTTTCCTTCTCTTTCTCTCTCTGTACCTTTCCCTGGTCAAATTAAAATAAATGAATGAATAAATTAAAAAAAAAAAAAGTAGATGTGAATTCTACATGCAACATCTGCTTCATTGATTGCAACAGATCTCAACTAGGCCAGAGCCCAAGCCTAAAAGAGGCTCAAGGTCCCTCTCGGTGAGGCTCCCACCTGGAGCCATGGGCACTCCTAGCCCCCCAATCCAGCCTTCTCTGTCCCAGTGAGTTGTCTCACTGGGAAGATGGCACATCTGTCTCTAGCCTGCTAACCAGGCAGGCCAACAGTCTTCATAGCTTGATCAGTGGCTCCTACTTGGCTTCCTGGGGCCCTACAGGTAGTCACTGCCTCCATAACCATGGCCACTGAACCCTGCGCATTCTTCCTTTCCTTTAGGGAACCTGGAGTTCTTTCCTGGTAGAACCAGAGAACGTTTCTTCTGGGGCATTTCCTTCCTACAGAGATCAGCCAAGGGTTCTGAATCTGTTTGTGGAAGCTGTGTGTGTGTCATAGGGAAATGGCCTTACTGCACCCCACCCCCAGAATTTCCTGAACCCCTCCAAAGGGGCACAAGTCTTCATCTGGGCCAATTTGGTAATCTCAACCTCACCCTGGCCATGCTCCTTGCCCTATTCTACCCTCCAGACCTCCCTTTGTGTGGTTTCACTTTGGTTTTGACAGTTATATGGTTCTTTTTAAAAAAAAAAAAATTATTTTGGGGGGACCAGCAGTTGATGTAATGGCTATGTCACTGGACTCCCATGTAGTTGACCACAGTTCAAGTCCCGGACCCAGGACTTAAGCTCACACAGGGCATGTGTGCGTGCATGCCCAAGATCCCTGGAGGAGAAGGGACTATGGCATGGCCATCCCCCCAGGGGGTAATTTCTCGCTTTCCATCTCTCTGTCTCTCTCTGTCTTTCTGGCAAGTGCACATGCCCTATAGCAAAAACTTCTCAAAAAAAATTTTTTTTAAAGAATTATTTTATTTAAAAAAAAAGAATTATTTAACTTTATTTATTAATTGTTATTATTAATATTTTTTCCAGTTTGATCAGAGAGAGACAGAGAGAGGGAAAATGAGAAAGCAAGCCACCAGGTCCAGGACTTGAACTGTGGTCAGCCATGTGGGAGTCCATGCCTTTAACCACCATACTACCTGCCGGCCCCCATTTACATAGTTCCTTATTCTTCTCTAAGGGATTTTTTAACCATTCTGTCATTCAGTGCCACAGGTTCTACTTTAAAAGAGTCACACACATTTCTAATTCTTTTTTTCGAAAGAACTTCACAAGCAGTGAATCCAGAGTAGCTGGCCAACCCTTGGAAGGAGGCTCAGTAGTCTGGGTCTTAGAATCCCAGGTACTATGCTTTCATCCTCTCCCATTCACTGGTATCTCTTTCCTCTTTTTCATGTTGTGCCTTAAGAATTTTTTTGTTAAGTTTTTTCATCTATTTTCTCCATGAGAGAGAGACCCCCCAGCAGGGTCCTCATGCTGTGATCCACCCCTAGCCTCAGCCTGCCAGCAGCATGGGCATACGTGTTCATGTCCCATTGTATATAGGCAGACCTTAGCATATGGACCTGGGATCTTCCCGTGTGGGTATCGTACCACAAAGCATTGCATTACCACTGCATGGCCCACTGGGCCTTAACTTTATATGTATTTATATGTTATATATATAATACACACATATACATTTTTTTTCACATATACATTTTTTTGAGAGATTTTTGTTATAGGGTATGTGCACTCACCAGAGAGAAAGTGAGAAATCACCTTCACCCAGGGTGGGAGAATAGACACGCCGCAATCCCTGGGCCTCCATTCTCGTCTCTGAATTTTCAGCACACGTGCACACATGCCCAGTGTGAGTTTCGAGTCACCGGGTCCAGGACTTGAACATAGTTGGCCATGTGGGAGTCCAGCGATGTAGGCATTACGCCATCTGCTGGCCCCAACACACACATAATTTTAATTAATTAATTAATTAATTAAGCTAAAAAGCACATGTGCTTACTAGAGTTGGGGGGGATGGTGAAAAAGTACCTACTATGGGGATACGTACATGCTGCAATCCCGTCTCCATCTCTCTCTCCTCTAAGGATTTTGGGCATGTACTTACACTCACCTGGCATGTTTTTCAAGATGCCAGGTCTGGGACTTGAACTATGCAATAGGCCATGTGGAGGTCCAGAGTGCTAACCACTATACCAACTACTGGCCCCTGTGCCATAAGTTTTTACCACATTTTCTCTTCTTAAATTTTATTTTTCTAAGTATTTAATTTTATTTATAATTATTATTTTTTTAAGAAGTTTTTGCTATAGGGTGCATGCACTTGCCAGAAAGAGAGAGACATAGAGACAGAAAGTGAGAAATCACCCCCTGGGGGGGTGGCCACACCGCAATCCCTTCTCCTCCATTCTCCTCTCAGGATCTTGGGCACACATGCACACACGCCTGGCGTGAGTTTAAGCCACCAGGTCCAGGACTCGAACTATGGTTGACTACATGGGAGTCCAGCAACATAGCCATTACACCAACTGCTGGTCCCTATTGTTATTTTCTAAGTTTGCGACATGGCATGTGAACTCACTAGAGAGAGGCAGAGAGAGAGGGAACGTGAGAAAGCAAGCTTCCAGGTCAGGGACTCAAACCATGGTCAGCCATGTGAGAGTTCAACACCTGAACCACCATGCCATCTGCTGGCCCTCTTCTTACATTTTAAATGCTTCAGCACTTCTGCATTTTCAGTTTGTGCTCTAATTATTAATTCTTGTCCAACTTTTTTTTTTTTTCTTAAGAGAGATTTTTGCTATAGGGCATGTGTGCTTGCCGGAAAGACAGAAAATGAGAAATCACTCCCCAGGGGGATGACCACGTTGCAATCTCTTTTCCACTCTCTTCTTGGGATTTTGGGCATGCACACACATGTGCCTAGTGTGAATTTTAAGCCGCCGGGTCTGGGACTCAAACCATGCTCAACTACATGGGAGTCTAGCAGCATAACCATTATGCCACCTGTTGGTCCCAATCCTTGTCCAACTTTTAAAGGCAGTAGGATATTTTTCCTTTGTCAGAATTTTTCACAGCTCACCGCTGGATGGTTGTGTGGTAGTAAAACACAACATTCTGTGAGGCTGACCCGCAGAGGTGGGTTTCAGGTTCATACCCAGAAGCTTCCTATGTTGGGTATATGCACGCCCATAATCCAGGACTGGCTGGGCCTAGGGTATAAATCATGGCATCAGAACCCTGCTGGAGATGCTGCCTACCTCCATGGGATAAATACTTTTTTTTTTAACTAAAAGAGCATTTTCCAGGGGTCTATGAGGGGCAGACCTCTACGGCCTCCTCGGATTTCAACTCAAGACACAAAAATCATCTTTGCATACAGTGTACCCTTAATTTAGAGGTAGGCTTTACCACCACTGTCTCACCAGGTCTCCTCACCCCCATTGTGAAGTGGGGGCCATCCATCTCTGACCCCATCTTACAGATAAGGAAAAAAGTCTGAAAAGGGAGGCAACTTGCACTTTGGTTACCAAAGTGGTAGCACTGCCTCATCAGTGCCTTACTCATTTTATCCAAATATATTCTCTGACTGGTTCCTGAGTCCTGACTTTTCTCAGGAGTTGCCTGAGAGCAGGGACCACATCTTCTCCCCTACCCCTAGAACAGGGCTAGGCATTTAGCTGGCCTCAGCAGGTCTGGTTGAACTGAGGTGAGGAGGCTAGATGTTTCTAAGTCCTAATCCTCCAGGGGACGCCCCACTCATTCATTTCACAAATAAATTTATTGTACACCTACCCTGTGCCTGTACTGATTTAGGCCTTGCAGATAAGACAGTGAGTAAAACAAAAGTCCTTGTCTTTGTGGAAACCTTAAATCTAAAGGGAGAGAACACAAATGAGTAAAACTGTATGGTATGTTAGATATAAGTGCTAACAAGAAAAACAAATCAGAAAAAGGTCAGAAGTATAGAGAAGAATTGTCATTTTTAGACTAGGTAAGGTCTTATTGAAGTGATTTCTGTAAATACCTGTAGGAGTTGAAGGCCAAAGCCATTCATCCTCTTGCCTTTGGGCAGGGCTGCCCACCTCTCTCCAAGGCCTTTCACCTGCCCACCAGTGGGGCCCCTGGCCCAGAGCAGTTAGGAAGTCTCTGTTTCATAACAATTGACATAACAAATGACACAATTGCCAGACATTGCCTGCCTCCCAGAAACTCAATAAAACTTATTGATACTGAGGTAGGAGCAACTCTTCATGAAGAGCCCCAGGGTTGGGGGAGCCAAGTTCTGAAAAGTCCCCTGTGAGAATGTCTTAGGAAGGAATCAGGACAGGAACCACCCCTCCTCCCTGCCTCTCTCCCCCACAGAAATTGAGTCTCACATTATAAAGCAAGAAGATATACTTAATGGCAAAGAGAATGAGATTAAGGAGTTGCAGCAAGTTATCAGCCAGCAGAAACAGATCTTCAGGTGAGGGGATTGTCCAGGCTGGGGGTTGTTGATGGAAGCAAGGAGCCAGACCTCTGGCCCCTGCCTTGGGCTGTCCACAGCCTGCGACTAGCTGGCTCCATTGCAGGAATCACATGTCTGACTTCCGGATCCAGAAGCAGCAGGAGAACTACATGGCCCAGGTGCTGGACCAGAAGCATAAGAAAGCCTCAGGGGCGCATCAGGCCCGCAGCCACCAGCGGCTCAGGGAAAAATAAAATGGTCATTTTCCTGTTCTCTATCATGCCCCACTTCTGCCTTGTCTGCTCTGGGGAGTCCCCAACCCTACCATTGCCATCTCTGTGGGTCCCGTCTCCCCAGGTCTGACTTCCAGGAAAGGGAAAAGGCAGCAAGCACTTCTTGCCTGCCTCCTAGGCCGTGGTGACCTGAGAATCAGGTCAGGGTTGGAGACAAACCTTGAACCACCCACTCTAGGCCATTCCTGTTCCAGCCACCAGCCTCTGCTACTTTGCTCCCTCCCTTTGGGTAGTACTTGGGGCCCCTGGGAATGGGGGGTTGGAGCCTAGAGGAGGAGCTTCGTTGTCTAGTAGGCACCTCCCCTGTCTTTGCTATTTAATCCCTTCTCATCCAAACAGCCGTGGTTACTACAGTAACATCCCACCCCACTCCCATGCCCTGGTAAATTTAACTCTCCAGGCTTGGCTATAGAGCAGCAAGGGCTTTGTGTGTATGTGTGTGTGTGTGTGTGTGTGTGTGTGAAGCCCTGATGACAGGCTTCAAAGTGGGGTTCCAGGACCACAGTGAATCTGGGAATCAGTTTCTATCATGTCACAAGCATGTTATACCCATGAATCCCATTTGGACCTTCCTACACTTCCCTCAAATGGAAGCTCATCAAATGAAAGGGGAAAAGACAATCCAGTGTCTATTTTTATGGTGGGGAAATAGTCTGGGAAGGGGTCACATTGCTCAAGTTGCACAGGGAGGGCTGGATGTGACGAACAGACTAGGTTTTCCAAAGCCATGACTGAGTGTGCCCTAGGAGATCATAGGGACACACTTCAGGGACAGCTGAGTCAGTCAAGCTAGCCTCTACTGGGTCACTGTGAGGGGGAGCGCATGGGAGGGGCCAGTGCTTAGCTCCAGAGCCAGCTGGGGCCTGAGTCATTGCAGGACCTTGCAGCCACAAGTTTAAGGGCAAGTGATGTCCATTGTCATGAAACAATGACAGGTGGTAGCTACTTCCCCATCAGCACCTGTCTTAAGGTTGAAGGGGCTGAAATGAGGGCCTTGTGAGTACAGAGTTGTTCTTGTCTGAAAGGTGGGGGGGGGGGCGGTTTAGAGGAAACTACAAGCTACCCCATAGGTTTTAAAGAAACCCCACATCAGTATCTAAGGCTTGTTCTGGGTGCTAGGTCAGCTTCCACTTCAGACCTTCCAATTAGGTCCTGCTGAGTGATCCAGCCAGGGACAGCACCTTCCCAAGGCCCCAGCACAACTTTTGGAACTGGGGAGAACTCTCATTTCTTCAAAGTTTGTGGGGGATGTTTGGGATCCAGGATCCCACCTGGTAAACTCTAGTTGGGGCAAGAGGAGATAGGTGGGGGTGCCCTGTTGTGATGAGAAGATACTGACATTGCTGGAAGGACTGAGTTGCCTGGCCTGAAGGTCTGGGTCCCTGGCTCACAGCCTGAACCCCATACTGTAGCGCTTGACCTCCAGCAGGTGGATAGAGTGGGGCCCAGCTCCCGGCTCCAAAGTTGGGTGTACCTTCCCCTTGTCTGCCTGTCAAGCCACCCTGGAGTCCTAGCTCCACCGCTCAGTCCAGTGCCAAAGAGTGTTGGTTCGGCATGGAGGATTGGAGGGGTAAGGTCTGCAGCCCCAGTCTCTCCTGCAGCCGTCGCTGCTAGGTCGGGAGTGGACGCGGCTGCTTTAAGGCGCGGTGACCCCACGGCATCCTCGGGCGGGGCGGGGACAGTGCGGGCGCCACCAGCGGAGGTGAATGCGAGGGAGGTAGTGCGCGGCGTCTGGCCCCACCATGCTGACCGCGCTCGCCCCGCCAGCCCTGCCTGGTCTCCCGAGGCGGCTGCCTGCGGCCCCCGCGCGGCGCCAGGATTCCTCCGGATCGTCAGGCTCCTACCACACAGCTCCAGGTTCTCCAGAGCCCCCCTGCCCCGTGGCCACCCAAGCCCCAGCTGCGCATGCTGCCGTCGGGGGAGATGGAAGTCATCTTCAGCGCCGGGCCCCTGCTCTGCCGCTCCGACGCGGAGGATCGCGAGGTGCAACAACTCACGGAGCCGGCTTTCAGCAGCCCCTCGCCACCCAGGCCAGCGTCTCCATCCCCCATCCCACCGCAGCCCCAGACTCCCGATGGTGGCTCCCGCTGGGCCACCTACCTGGAGCTACGGGCCCGCGGACCCAGTGAGGCCGTCCCCGCGCAGTTCGAATGTGTTGAGGTGGCTCTGGAGGAGCGCACGGCGCCCACCAGGCCCCGGACGGTACCCAAGCGTCAGATCGAGCTGCGCCCTCGGCCCCGGAGTCCTCCGCGGACTACCAGCGCGCCGCGCCCGCGACTGCTCCTGCGCACCGGCTCCCCGGACGAGGCGCTGGGTTGGGCCGCCTGCAGGACGCCGCGGGCCTGGTGCAGACAGCACTGGCCAGAAAACTGAGCCCTGCCGGCCCACCCACGAGCAGCGCCACCTTCGGGCCCTCAGGGCGGCTGGAACCTGCGACCCAGAAGGCGGCCAGCAGCACACGCGTGGTCCTGGAGGAGGCTAAGGCTCGGCCACCGCGCATACAAAACGGTTCGGCTCCCAGCAGAGTCCTACGACCGTGGCCTAGTCTCCGCGAGCGCGCGATTCGGCGCGACAAGCCCGCGCCTGGGACCGAGCCGCTGGGTCCTGTTAGTTCCAGTATCTTCCTGCAGTCAGAGGAGAAGCTTCAGGAGGCGCGCAACCAGGAACCCAAGACCCGGTTCCCGCGGGAGACTCTGGATCGAATCGTCCAAAGGGCACAGAGTCCACCTTTAAAATCTCGGACCCCCGGGGAGATTCCGAGTCCAACTGTGAGGCCCAGGAGCCCGTCACCGCTGTGGCAGGCTCCAAATGAGGCTGTGCGGGGTCCTCGCTGCCCGTCCCCCCACAACCTGCCCTCGTGGGATAGGACTGTTCCGAGGGGGAGTAGTTCGTCGTTCCCGGAAGCATCCTCCGTGTGGGAAAACCAGAATCCCGTCGTCGAGGAAACCGTCAGCCGGAGGAGCCCTTCCCCTCCGACCTTTGCCCAGTGGAATAAGGGCGTCGTCAGGGCCAGGAGCCCATCCCCCGAAGCTCCTGGCCTCTGGGAGGTCCCCAGTCGGGCAATCAGAAGTGCGGCAAAGCCGGGTAGGAGCCCTTCCCCGTCACCTTTGTTACCTTGGGAGGCTCCAAATAGTCTTACTGGGACGCGGAGCCCATCGCCTCAAGTGCAGTGGGATCCAGTGGTGCAGGGTTCAACCACAGTATTTACGCGGGAAGCTCTGAATGGCCTAGCTCAGGAGGAGCTGGTACCGTCTACACCATCCACACCCGGAACTGCGGAACTAACAGAGGCGCAGAATCTACCCACGCGGGAGATCCCGGAACTTGCCTTCCGAGGCAGTCAGCCGTCGCCAGAGGTGGCTGCACCCGAGCCGCCCCGCAATCACCTCGTGAGTACCCTAGACGCCGAGGCGCACCCGGAGGCCTTGGGCCCTGGAGAAGCGGGCTCCGAGCGCCCGCGCGTGGCTATTCCGCGGCCCCGAGATGTGCGCAAGATCGTGAAGACTACGTACGCGCCAAGCTTCCCCGCGGGGGCCGGGGTCCCACGGCTGCCTGCGCCCGCTGGGGACTCCTGCTGGGAAGAGGGCGGCGCGCCCAAGACGCAGGAGCTTCCGGCGCTGGGGTCCCCCGCCCCAGCTCACTACACTTCCGTTTTTCTCAAGGACTTTCTGACGGTCGTGCCGCACCCCTACGAGCCCCCAGAGCCATCTCTCGACAAGGTTCCCCGGGACGCCTCGCAGCCTAACGGGGTGCCGCGGCGGAGGGCAGAGAACAGCACCGCGAAACCCTTCGCGCGCTCTGAGATCCGCTTGCCTGGTGCCCTGACCCTGGGCTATCGGCCGGAGGGAGTCCCGGGAGGCCACGTGCGCGGCCGGGCTGCAGAGAACCGGGATGCCGAGGCCCAGCGCCTCGTTCCAGACAGCGAGAGTCGGACCAGCCCTCTAGGCGGCGCTCGCACCTCACCCCAGCTGTCCCCGGTAGGGCCGCCCCGCCCCAGCTCCCCTCAGGCGCACCCCAACTCGAGCCCTGGG